GCTATGTTGCCCAAGAATGGAAATAGTTGGGTTGTTAGTAAGTGGGGTAAAAAACACACCTGCCTAAACCAAGGCCTTACTCGGGACCATAGACAGCTGGATTCTGATGTAATCTGTGCAGCCATTATAAGTATGTATTACATTCATTTTTGTTTATGGTTTAATTTTTCGGTATATTTATTGATTGTGTTGACTTCGAATTTTGTGTAGGTATGTTAAAAGAAGATCCATCCACGAAACCAGTTCTTATTCAGGAGAGGGTACAAAGTTTGTATGGATACAACATATCTTATAGGAAGGCTTGGAAGGCTAAAATGAAGGCCATTGTGAAGTTGTTTGGCGACTGGGAAAAATCATATGCCATCTTACCTGGTTGGCTGAACTACATGACACAGATAAATCCTGGTTCTGTGTTCAAGATTGATACGGATCAGTGTTGTGACGAACGACGAGTCTACATCGATAAGGCTGTCTTTCGCAGGGTATTTTGGACTTTTCACCAGTGCATTGAGGCTTTCAAATATTGTAAACCCATAATCCAAATTGATGGCACGCACCTGTACGGGAAATACAAAGGTACCCTCTTGATTGCTACGTCACAGGATGGTGATGGATTCATTCTGCCTATTGCGTTTGCCATTGTTCCACCGGGTGAGAGATTGGATGATTGGTTGTGGTTTCTTAGCCAGATGCGTTTCCATGTCACACGTAGGCATGGTATCTGTCTAATATCCGATCGTCACCCCAGCATCATCAGGGCTGTGAAGGATCATGCCGGTTGGCAGCCTCCATTTGCGTATCACGTGTTTTGTCTTCGTCACATTGGAAGCAACTTCAACACTAAGTTTAGGGACGTGGAACTGAAGAAAACGCTGATGAAACTAGGTAACCTATTTACATGAATTTTGTACATGTTGTATGTAATGTTGTTTATGTATAACTCATTGCAATTTGGGTTCATTTTTTGCAGGTTACATGTGTTCGAAGATTCACTTTGATTTAAGATTTCAAGAATTTGTCGACAGTAACCCACAAGTAGCCTCATGGATAGATCAGATTCCCAAAGAGAAATGGTGTAGGTCTTATGATGAGGAGGGCCGAAGGTTTGGTCATATGACGACAAACCTATCTGAGTGTATCAATAAGGTCCTACGGGGTGCACGTAATTTGCCAGTAACGGCATTGGTCAAGATGACGCAAAGTAGACTTGTTGAGTATTTTGTGAAGAGGCGTGAAAAGATCCAAAAAGTAAAGGACAAAGGCTGGAGAATTGCAAAAAAGGTTGAGGACTTCTTACAAAAGAATGATCAGTTAACTGTCAGTCTTCGTGTCCGTGTTTTTGATAGAGACTTGCAGTTGTTTGAAGTTGAGGATGCCTACAATCAATCTACGCATGATGCCGACGACATTATGAGGGTTGACTTGCTAAATCGTAAATGTCAATGTGGACGGTTCACAGCTAGACGATTTCCTTGCATTCATGTGCTAGCGGTGTGCAAGGTTGAAAAATTGAACCACTATGACTATGTCGATCCTGTGTTCTCAATTACACAAATTGAGAAGGTCTATGCTGCACATTGGTTTCCAATGGGTAATGAGTTGTTGATCCCAGAAATAGATGGTCCAACATTAATCCCAAATGCATCTTTGGTTCGTGCACAAGGAAGACCGAAGTCTTCAAGGATACAGAATGAAATGGATTGGGTTGAGTCCCAACCCAAAAGCAGTCAAACTAGATGCAGCACCTGCAAGCAAATTGGTCACAATAAACGTACATGTCCTATGAGGATTAATCCTAGCTGAAGCAATGTTGTGCATGTATTTAAGGTCTTTTGTAAGAGTTCATGTAATTTTTGTAAGACATTGTGATGTTACTTTGTGTTACTGTTTAACTCATTATGTAATTTGACATTTCATTTCTAAGTCCATTATCTAACATTGGTCCATATTGATAGATTGAAACTCATAACTAATACTAATATTACCAAAAAATGAAATCACCAAGTTTCGGGGAGCGTAAACAAACGGTTTGGGGTAATACGTACCCAATCGCATACGAATCCTGTACAATACTATTTTGTACCTGAAAGTGTGTTCCCCAAGTCATTATATGCGTGTACATTGATATTCGATCGGTTCCGTGCCAAAAAAAAACGTGCAAAACAGAATGGGGTGTCAAAACTAGTTATTTAGTCGAGCAACCCGTACTAATTTAGTCGACTACACAGTTTAGTCGACTAAACCAGTACGGGTTGCTCGACTAAATAACTGGTTTTGACACCCCATTCTGTTTTGCACGATTTTTTTTGGCACGGAACCGATCGAATATCAATGTACACGCATATAATGACTTGGGGAACACACTTTCAGGTACAAAATAGTATTGTACAGGTTATAAACCACGAATGTGCATGTACTGCATAAATGCAATAATTAAGGGTATCCGAAACTTGTGTTCTTATTTTAACTCTGTTAAGGTCACCTGTTCTGAATTTCATTGGACATTTTAGACCCGTTGGACTGTGATTAGACACAAATTGAAAACATGAAGGTAAAAGATATTTGTTCCTTCATTTGGTAAACAAGAAAACAACAATAATTACGTAAACGGTTCACAACATGATGGGAACATCAAATAGTTCATTTCATAACCATAATATTACATAAGCTACAAATGTAAAATAGGAAGACCGAAGTCAATTACATAACAACATACACTAGAAACGTAAAATAGAAACATAAACCCTAAATCTAATCCTCATCCTCCTCGGACGCCGTCTCCTCGTCATCCTCATCTGACACATCAGCCCCCTGCCCTGCAACATCCTCAATCTGCTATCCTCGTCCAAGCTCTAGACGAGCAAGCCTATCTTCAACACCCTTGAACCGTCCCTGTATATGTCTAAATCTTTCATTTCCCTTCTGCACGTGACTCTTCCTCCATTTTTTGTGTTTCAGCGCCATTTTTCCTATTTTCTTCAGCGTGGCGTTTATGCCCTTCATGACATCACGTAATGAAAACCCACCCTCAGGCTCAACTATCTCCTGCTGGTCACCCTCATCATCATCGTCATCATCATCCTCCACCTCGGGGTCAACCATGTCTACAACTGGAGCAACATCAGGAACCTCAACATCAGCCGCACCTGTGAACTGCCACACTCCTGTTTGGGGGTTCTTTGTCATCTTGCACTGCTCCAGTAGACGTTTTCCAAACTTATGATTATACCCTGTGGTCTTCTTCAAGGTCACATTACCCATGGGAACATCAAAATGCTCCAATATCCTTTGAACAAGACAAGCAAATGGAAGTGCACCCTTGTGTTTGGCCTTATACATCATCCAACACACGTAGTGCCTCCAGTTCACCGAAGTACCATGTCGGATAGCCCACATGATGGGAATGTCATGCTCCAACACCCTGGAATGATTGAACGCTCGCGGAAACAAAATGTGGGTGATGACATAGTGTAGTATGCGGGACTCCACAGTAAGCAACCCCACCGTATAGGCAATGTGTTGCCCACAGACTCTCCTCTGCTCCTGCACGGCATCACCGCGTGTATATCCTGGAAGTATGGTCCCGCTGTCTGCGTCATATTCCACAGTCTGTGCAGAATCAAAGTCATACCCCAGTAACTCCAACCATACCGGAGCCGTCATGATGATGTCCACCCCGCAGACCCTAGACCTCAGCTCACCGTGATGGTAGCTGAGATTATGGTAGAAGGCCCGTACATGCAGCTCAGAATATGAACACGACAGTTCAGCCAAGGTCCTAAGATGTGATTCCTCCAACCACCTCACAATGTTAAAACCTTCTTGTTCAAAAAAGGCTGTAACAAGTGATTTGGCCCCACAAATCGATCGGTTAACAAAGTCACGGACAAAAGATTCATGAACCACCGGGTCATTCTCGAACAAGTATCCGAATGGGAGGTCCACAACAGCGGGGTCTTCCTCTTGTGGCCTTGACGAAGACGGATGGTCTTGTTGTAGCTTTTGTCGTCTCTCATTTCCAGTGCTAGACGATCTTCTACGGCCAGCCATGGGAACAACTGTACCTACAATGCAAGTGGAAACAAAAATCAATGAACAATAACAATATCAAAAAATTTAAAATTCAATATAAAAAACAAAACCTAATCCTAAAATAAAACAGAAATCAGAAACCCAATCCCTAACCCTAAAACAGAAACAGAAACCCTAACCCTCAACCCTAACCCTACACCCTAAAACAGAACACAAAAACCCATTCCTAACCCTAAACACTACAACCCAAACAAAACAGCAACGTAAACCCTAACCCTAACCCTAACCCTAACATAACCCTAACCCTAAGCCTAAGGCACCACATCAACCCTAACCCTCACCCTCACAACAAACTTAGCACCCTACCCCTAACCTAAATCCACAAAACCGCAAACATAAATCAAATGCATGAAGAAAACCAAAAAAAAAACTAAACTTAAAACCAAATGCAAGTCAGAATACGTTACCTAAATGTCGATTTCGCAAGTGTGAACCAAGGAAGCTTCAATCGCACCTTCAAGGGTTGAGATTCGGACTTGGTTGGAGAGAGGGGACAGAATGCAGCCTTTTAGTCGATTAGGGTTTGAAAATAACCCCCTTCGCGAAATGGGGGGATTTTTAAAAAACCTGATCTGCGACATTTAGTCGACTAAATAATGTGCTTAGTCGACTAAAAGTGCAAACAATTTAGTCGATTAAGGTGAGTTTTTAGTCGACTAAAATTCGCGTTTCATAATTTATGAGTTTAGCCCATTTAGTCGATTAAAAGTGCAACATAATCAACTAAATGAGGGCAGGATGGTGGATAATTCTGGGGAAGAGGCAAATTGGTTATTAATTATTTAATTAGGGACAAAAGGGTCAAAAACCCTTGTTATGTGGTGTAATTTGGTTTTATAGAAAATACACCTGAACAAATAAAGAGAAAAAAGAAAAGAAAAAGATAAACACTAGGTAGCACGCAGTGAGTTCCAAATCGAAGCACAGAGAGGGAGAGAGAGAGAGAGAGAGAGATAAGTGGATGAGAGTACAAACAGAGAGGAGCAGCAACACAATGACGCCGAGAAGAATCGTGTACATAAACAACCCTACAACTTCGGAGAATCCGGCGATATTACAGCAGATCCGGCCCTCTCTGGTGGCGTCGTTCCTGCAGAGGCCCCAGTCTCTGCCATTCGTCCTCACCATAATCCTCTTACTCGCGTGGTTCTCCATTCGAATGCAACGCGCTTCGCAGCCTCTCCCCGAGTGGAAGACCACCACCACCAAGGATGACATGAAGGCCAATCTCGTCAGGTTCACCTCTTCCCAGATTGCCAAAGACAACCGTGGCTGGTTGCTCGACCCTCTCTCTCTCGCCCTTGCTTCTGGCATTTCTGGTACTATTCGTTTCATTTCATTTTATTTCATTTCAATTCAATTCAATGTTGTGTGTGGTTCTTTCTTTTGAATTGGGGGAATTGTGCTTCTCTCCTCCGCAGGTGGAGCTGTGACCTGTGCTTCTCTTCATGTTGGAGAAGTTCGACCTGGCAAGTTAAGAGGAAATCACAGACACCATGATTGTAATGAGACTTTCGTCATTTGGGGGGCTACAACCAGGTTTAGAGTAAGCTCCTTTGCCTTTCCCATCTTATATATCTAATCAAATTCTTTCTAGGGAATCTTCCATTCAGATATATTTCCCCCTATTTTTTATTTTCTTTTCCCATACAATTAATTCTGAATGCTTATTCTCACACTTGAACCTAATAATTTATATCTCTCATCGGTTCTTGAAAGTAGTAGGTTTTTTGGATTTATGTTCAATTGATATTTTAAGACAGGAAGATTTGTAACTGCTGTTTGGTTACTCCTTTTTATCTATACTATTATTCTTTCTTTCTTGCATTTACAAAGAATAGCAAGGTTTTGTAGAGAGTAAAAGAGTGCTTATCACTTGTTAGTGTGATACTATGATGTAATTCGTTGCAGCCACAATTCTCAAATGTCTGAAGCTCTAACCTAGGTGAAAGAGGGGGAAGGGGATTGGTGTTGCTAATGCTGGGGCTGCAGTAGTTCCATTGCTTTTTGGTCAAAAATCATTTTGTCTCAAGTAAACAATTTATGGATTGTACTTCATGCTGAAAGCTATTCCTTCGTTTAATTTTGCAATGCAATAACGTATTGGACACACGTCCGATACCGATACGTTGGGGACACGGATATTGCCGTATCGGATGGGTCAACGAAATCCGATACGGTCAACGTATGAGGAACCTTGGTTGCCGGCGATTCTGTTCTTGTCTTCTATACGTGTGAGAAAGAGAGAGGAAAGGAGAGAATACAACTGGCTGTGCCTGTGAGAGAAAGGGAAAGAGAGAGGGAGGAAGTATTATGATGGCGGGCAGATGAGGAGGTGAAGGGGAAGGAAAGTTAGGTTTTTTACTTCATATTAACCTAATTTGATTAAGAGTCTTTCTTTGGGAATGAATTGGGCTTGGGCTAACAAAATTGGACTTGAACTAACATAGTTCATATATTAATATGGATTGAATTTAGATTCAAAAAACTTATTATTTTAATGAAAATACAATTTTAATAACTATTATTCATTATATTAAAAATATTATTTAATACTAAGATGTGTTGGAACGTATCGAAATATTAATATTTTTGAATTAACGTATCGACGTACGGTGTCGGGAAACGCCGTGTTAGAATCTGTGCTTCATAGGTTGCCATGTGGCCCGAAAGTCATAGGTTTGATTCATGTAATGAAACTCTTGCAAATATAAGGTAAGGCATAAGTATGGACCCTTCCTTGCACCCTGTGCAGAGAGCATGAGCTTTATAGCACTAGAGTGCCCTTTTATAATGAAGGCAGAACTATATTCCGATTGACTAGCACAGTCAAAATATTGAGCTTATCTCTGTATCGATAACATTTATATTTTTGCATGAATTTCTTATTCATGACTTGCAACCTGTTTGCAGTTGGAGAACAGCGAGGTAACTGATAATGGTTATGCTGAAGTGACCATTGGTGGAGATGAGATTGCTGTTGCTGCCAGCCCCATGCATAAGGCACATGCTTTAGTGAACATAGATCCGATTCGCAGTATGTTCTTTATAGGATGCCAAGACAATATTATAAACTACAATGCCTCAAGTACTGACTTTAATGTTTGGAAAGACCTTTAAGCTGGTTGCTCTTCAAAGATTTTCCCATCATTTTCCTCTTGATGAAATCTAAGTTAATATTGGTACGATATTGCTGCACAGCGTGAGAATATTTTAACCTTTTAGTTGTCTATATATGTACAGAGCTTAGTTGCAAACTCGGTGAATGTGAGGTTTTTATAGGGTACAAAAAAGAAAGAACGAAAGGAGGTACAATATATGGCCTTAGTCTATTATTACAAGAATATTATTTTCTTATCCACAAGTTGCTCAGTATTTTGTTGTAGTTAGCATCAAATTCCTAAGAATGATTCTTTTTTATGAGCCAATCTTTTTATCTGCTGAGTTGTTGGCATAGGAAAATGTTGAATTTGTTGCAATTTTTTTTCTAAGAACAAACCATATGCATTGTACATCTTGGCGATTCTACAAGTATCTATTTTATTACCCTTCATTGAAAGAACCATGTTGGTGTTTGTTCAATATAAATCTATAGTATAGGGTTTTTATTTCTTTACTCTTATTTCTTACACTCTATTTCGGCCTTGGAACATAGTGGGCTAGTGCCCAAACAAGAGCGCAGAATTTACGATCTGAGCTGTATGTATATCTTATTTAAACTTTATTCAAGTATGCGTGCACGAATATATTCGGTTAGCCTGATTGATTAGCCATAGAAATGCTGACCATTCAATTTTGTTAGCCGTATGATTTGTTCTTTTATTGGTGTTGATTTCTTTAGATGGATGAAAAACCAATTCAGCTAATAGAGGATTAAAGGATCAGCATCTGTTGTTTATATGAATGCTTTTTATGGTTTGTGCTTCAGAATGCTCGTAGTATTGAATTCTTATATTTTATGTCTTTGGAATTCTTTTTTACCTTCCAACTTACCCAAAGTGTGTATTTGATTTGGAATTACACATTTTGAGATTTACTTTATGAATGAAATTATCTTTATGGAAAGTTATAAAATGAATTGATTTGACTCTGAAATCCTTTAGAATATAAGGTGCACGGGTATGAATTTAGTCATATTGTCAATTTTTCCCTTAATATTGATTGCATTAATCTCTTAGTTGTTCTAAGCATGGAAATTGATTTAGAAATCGATTCAAATATTTTGAATAATTTTAAATATGAGAATTGATTCCTAAATCAAATCATATTCATTTCATATTTTAAACATTTCAAACACAATGAATGAGACTTGATGTTACAAGTTAGAATGTTAATTTCAACGGGGAACTTGTGTAGTGCCCGTCACTTGTAAGAAAAGCACTTATCGTGTTCTAATCTGATGCTCCCCCCCCCCCCCCCCCCCCCCCTCTTTTTTTTTTTTTTTTTTTCCTTTTTTCCTTTATCAATTTTCATTTTGTCTTTGTTTTATAAACTACAACATAAACGGTGGATGGCCGGTGGGAGCAATGCGCAAATTGTACGAAGTTTACTTGCACGCAAGGGTTTGAAGGCCTAGAACTAGAAGTCACTGGAGTTTGTGATGAACAAGAAAAGAAAAAACTCAATTAATTAATTTGTTCAAACAAAATATGCTAACAAGGCTTAGTTTGACTTTGAACTAGTCTGGAATTATGAGCTGACCTATGGACAAATGACCGTAGCTTTAGCTGATTGTATGCGTTTCTTCATATATTCAGGTGAGATATCATTTTCAAGTGTTTATTGTGATTCTCATACGTGAAGGCGCTATTGAGATATTGCTTAGACTTGGATCAAACCTCCAAGACTCTGGAGTACGTCAAAACTCCAAGTTAATCAGGTCATACTTCTTTGCTTTCAAATGGAACTTCATAAAAGAGTAATTCAATATAAATAATCATTTTCACATAAAAAAAAAGTCCATTCGTTTTACATCCCATTTATCTAATGAGATTAGAACCTGAGATGCAAGAGTTAGAATCTGTAATTTTATTGGGTAAATTACTTAATTACTGATTCTTGCAACAAAATAAATACTATAATATCGCTTCACAAGTAACAATTTAAAGCTCTAATTATTGGTTGTTGAGCAAAGTCCTTTACAAGGAATATGCTTTAATATATTAAAAAATAGAAGTTCCCTAGCTTGAAAGCCAATACAAATGAAGCAGAAGGTTGCTTGTACCGAATTCAAAGGGAATGCAAATACTCCCCCAAGAACTATAAAGTTGATCCATTGGATGAAACTGACTGAGTCAATCACCTGTAAGCACATCAAGAAAACTTTTGATAAACTTGCTTTCAGAGTTCAAATCTTTGAAGTGACTGAAATGGAGGGACAGAAAAAGAGGCTAGCTGTTTTGGTTGGGTGCAATTACCCAAACACTTCCAACGAATTGCATGGCTGCATAAACGATGTGTTAGCCATGCGGGACATGCTAGTGAAAAACTTTGGGTTTGATCCCAAAAACATTGAGCTCCTCATTGATGCACCTGGCTCTTCATCAGCTATGCCAACTGGTGCCAACATTAAGCATGCACTAGCACGCATGGTTGATCGAGCTGAAGCAGGGGATGTGCTCTATTTTCACTATAGTGGACATGGAACCAGGATCCCTTCCAAGAAACATGGCCATCCCTTCCACCAAGAGGAAGCTATTTTGCCTTGTGACTTCAATCTCATCACTGGTTTGTATAACTTCCCTCTTTAATCAGATTGTGCAAAATCACACAATCAAAATATACACTTGAGAACATTCTTTTTTATGCCTCAAGAGAAACATTTGCATAGTAAGTCCATCGCCATAACTCTAATTTATTCACGTAACTCTGGTCCGGTTCAAGTACTGTCGAATCCATATAGTGGACAATTTTTTCAATATCATTTTTTTCATTCTCAAGGCTAGAACTCAAGTCTTGGTCAAGGAGTAGAACTCAAGTCTTGGTCCAGGAGAACAAGCTCCTTACCACTAGAACAAATGGTTGTTGGTGGCTTGACATATTCTTGATGGATTTCTTAGTAATTAGTAATAGTTTTAATATACAATGAGATTCACCTGTCAAGATCTCACTAAACAAGTTGTTGTTTTGTGTATGTCAATCGTCATTTAAAGTGGCTATGATGTTATTCTTGAATTCAAATTCTAATGAACAAAATCCTAGTTAAATTCAACTCTGTGATAACCCTCTTAACATTGGGAACATTATATATAACTAATGCTTTTACTTCTATTGTCATTTTTCATATAGATTTGGACTTCAGGCAACTAGTGAATCGGCTGCCAAAGGAAGCAAGCTTCACAATTCTCTCAGACTCATGCCATAGTGGTGGCCTCATTGACAAAGAGAAGGAACAGATTGGACCATCCTCAGTGGTTTCCAAAAATACCACATTGAAACAAAGTTATAGCCCCAAGACAATACCCTTCGAGTCCATAATGCAACACCTCTCATCATTAACAAAAATAAACACCACAGACATTGGGACTCATATGCTAGAGTTCTTTGGCTCCGAAGCCAGTTTGAGGTTTAGGTTGCCATTGCTTGATCTTGATTTGTTCGAACCTTTGAGGCCTGATGAGGGGATTCTGTTAAGTGGTTGCCAAGCTGATGAAACCTCTGCAGACATGAACCCAAATATGGGTGGGGGAAAGGCATATGGAGCATTTAGCAATGCAGTTCAGATGGTGTTAAAGGATAACCCGAGTAAGCTAAGCAATAGAGAGGTTGTGATGATGGCAAGGAAGATCCTACAAGGACAAGGATTTGAGCAACATCCTTGCCTTTACTGCAGTGATGAGAATGCTAATGCTACCTTCTTGTGGCAAAGTCAGAACTCAGATTTATGAGAAGCATTTCTGAGTGCAGAGTTTGGGGTGTGAAACATTTGATTGAAATAAAGACTCTCTCAAGTGTCACTATATGTTACTCAATCTACTGTTGGATGAATTTAATGAAATAAGTGGAAAGAAGTGCTAATTCCTGAACCAACCTTGTTCAGAAATGAGATGGAGATCTTAACTGACTAATTGTAAAGCTTTCTGCCATATTTTACATTTCCTCAATTTGCATGGTAGCATATAACTACTAACTTTCGCTAGAGGCCTAGATATATATACATACATAGCTTCGGCTCAATTTTTAAAACGGCACAAGAAGAAAGAAAACCTTTGGCCTACTGATGCTTTAAATTGGACCCCTTATTAAGTAGGGGGAGATTATACGATTTTTTTTTTTAATATTACCGAACTTGCAACCTAATACACACTACACACACCCAATACCACTAGGCTAATCCTAGTGGTGCGGGGGAGATTATACGATGAATTTTCTCTTACAATCATTTTTTTTTTTTTTATCGTATTGTATCAAAATTAAATAAACGGTTATAAAATAACATTATGTAATAATTGTAAAAGGTTGTAAGAGAAAATTAGTTGTAAGTCCAATCTCTCTTGTCATATTATTAAACTATTATATTTCAGAGCAATTTTTAGGTAAAAATGCCAGAGTATAGCCCTTTCAATGTATTTAATTCCTTTTTTTTTATTTTTTTTATTAAGTTTATATTGCATAACATGACAAGTAAGGGTATAAATGCAAGAGACAGTCTAACATGGGCTTACAACTCAACTTATATCACGTTAGATTAAGCCTATCATATATAGTCAAATAAAAAGACTTAGGCTTTTAAAAAAGTTTATTTAAAAAAGTAGGTTTAAGTTTTTTATATGGCTATATCATATTATTTTTTTTAAATAAAATAAATAAAATTATTATTTTAATCATTTAAAATAATAAAGTAATATTATTTTAATTATTAAATATCTAATAAGATTAAACATGCTCATAGGCCTAGATTTTTGTTATTTAAATATAGGTCTGGTCAGACCTGTAATTTGGATCTACACAAAGCTAACAGATCAAGTCAGACCTAAAGTATTTTACAGAAGTCTGACTTATTTAAGTCAAAACTCAGCGCAACCTATTTATACCCCTAATGACGAGTATGTAACTAGTTTATATAGAAAGAAAATTTATCGATATAAAATGTACACAAAAATTTATATAGAAATAATATAATACATAGTATTTTATTTTAGAAGTTTATTGGATTTAATTTAAATTTTTTGAATTACCAAGACACTACATTCATGATTATTGATAATTAAAATTTAAAATGCGAAGCTTCGCATAAAGTTATCACAAACTCTTAGTTAATCACAAGAGAAAAAATATAAAATCATATTATAAATTTAGGGGAAAGATCCGTCTACAAACTTATAAACTACACTATGTCTATAGAGTATTACCGGTCAGATATAGTATAATTTGTAAGAGTTTGTAAATATAACATTTTTCATAAACTTATTGTGTTAAGGTTTTAAAGGTTATTTTAGTGTTTTTCTCAAGGGTAATACTTCTCTTATGTTGAATAAGAGAAGTACTATCTCATGCTCAAACAAAAAGTAGAAGAGAGAAAAAAGTTAAAGGTGAGAGAGAAAAAATCTTGTGGGACCCATTTGAAAAATATGAGTGTAGGAGAGAATATTTTGTTTATGTAACATGAGAAAAGTAATTCCCTTTTCTCAAAATTTAAAATTAGTACTTTGAAAAAGAATATATATCAAAAATCACTTATTTACAAAAAAAAATAAAAATAAAAAAAATCACTTTAACAAAAGTATTTTCAGTTGCGGTTCAAACGTCATAATATAACATAATTAGGTTTGGAAATACAACCTTGGTCCGATAGATGTTGACCAGGAAAAATACCATGATGGTCCTAACCAAAAGAAAGAGAAACGTTCACAGTTCAAATGTCAGAGGACATAGTGGCTTCGTTAATGAATAATATATGGGACCGATAGCAAATTATGTTGTCGCATCGCACCAGTAAGAGAAGGAAGCATTTTCTTTTTATTTTGAAATTTATGTAAGCATTCAATTTATCAAATTCCAGAAATGAATATAATTAACTAAAGAAGATTGCATTTTTAAAATTAGAGAAAAAAAAAAAACAAATATAGTATGATATTGGCAATAGAAGTCACTCCAATATTTATGAAATCTTAAAAACCTTATTAATACATTAGGTTTATAATTTTTTTTTATTTTGTTCTGTTCGTACAAGTCTTACGGCCCCTTTGAATGCACTTATGAAAAAAGTGTTTTTCATGCTTTGTATATTTTAGAAGTATTTTTTACAAAAGTTAAAGTTATTTAAATTTTTAAAAAAATATTTGGGTTTTGAAAAAAAAATATTTAATATTAATTTTTATTATTTTCAGAAGCTAAAATTTTTAGCTTAAAAATAAAATTAGGTTTTTGATTTTTTTGTGGCTTTTGTTTCCAAACAGATTTTATAGTAGAAATATTTTTTTTTTCTAAAAAAAATAACTTTTAACTATAAAAAAAAGCACATCCGGTCTACTTTACTCATAAGCCCACTTTTCCACTCATACTTAATTTCCTACAGGATCTAGCGCTTAATTAGACTGTAACTTTTTAAAGTGTAAGTTTATAAGTGTAGTTATTAAAGTACACAAAAATAATTTTTTTTTTAGTTTTTTTTTATAATTTTTATTATTATAAAAAAATTTAAACATTTTTTAATTTAAAGAGTTTTTTTTGTAAATTTAATTTAAAGAGTTTTGTTAAAATTAAAAATCACAAACCAAGAAGTCGTGTATGTCTGTATGACTCAACGAAACCAGGAAATCAGGAATTAGTGGATCATAGCAAGAATCATAAGAACCAAACTGTCCACGTGGTTGCACGATGTATTCTTTTCCTATTATTTTTTTAGGGAGCGTTTGACAGAGGAATTTTTTTTTTAAATTCGGGAAATAATTATTACTGAAATGTAGTATGAAATATATTTAGTCTGGAATGTTAGTAAAAGATATTTAGTATGTTAAAATTTTCTCAGGATTTTATGATTTACTTTACTTTACTTATTTTAGTTGCACCAAAAGAGCAAGGAAGAGAATGAGGAAACCTTGGGAGAAAGCTCTGATTGTTAAACTCCTTGGGAAGAAAATTGGGGTGGAGTTTATGAAGAAAAAAAATAAATGTCTTATGGGCTAGAAAAGGCAAAATCAATGTCACTGATATTGGTAATGACTTTTTCGTAGTCCAGTTTAGTGAGAAGGATGATCTCAATTTTGCGTTGAACGGTGGTCCATGGATTGTTTTGGGTCATTATTTATCGTTGAGGAAGTGGGAACCAACTTTCAGACCTAATAGTGCTGGAATTGCTAAGATTGCTGCTTGGATTCGTCTACCGGATATTCCCATTGAATTCTATGATGAAGCTTTTTTTAGAAGGATTGGAAACTGGTTAGGCAAGATGATCAAGGTAGACAGCAATACAAATGCTCATGTAAGAGGACGGTTTGCAAGAATATGTGTGGAACTGGACCTATCTCAGCCATTAAAGGGTGATTATGTGCTGGAAGGATTTACCAAACAAATTGAGTATGAAGGATTAGGGCTCATTTGTTTTGGTTGTGGGAAATATGGACATAGCACCGAGAATTGTTCAGCTGCTCCAAAGCAACGCAGTTCATCCGATATTCATAATGACGATCAAATTCATCAAGAGGAACCTGGCAACTCAGAATTCCATCGAAGCAAAGGATTGGGACCTTGGATGGTTGTTAACCGTCAACGCAGGAGCCGGCAACCTCCTCAGACGGCCGGTGCAGTCCAGCCAGGCGCTGGTTCAAAAAAGTTACAAAGGAATAATGATAAGGGAGTTATGACCAGCGATAATCATGGAGATAATCATGGTGATAAGAGAGTTATGACCAGCGATAATCATGGTAATCATGGTAATAAGGGAGTTATGACCAGCGATAATCATGGTAATCATGGTAATAAGGGAGTTATGACCAGCGATAATCATGGAGATAATCATGGTGATAAGGAGGAAATTACGCAATCACGGTTTGCAATCTTAACAGCTGGACCTATTAATGAGGAGGATCATAATCAAATAATTAATTCTGTTACTCCTCATATGGGGGCCCCTCACTTTGAAATTCCTCAGAAAATATGGACTAAATCCAAAAAGTCCAAAGATACCCCTAGGACTAAATCAACGGTTCCTACTATGCATGCGGCTCATTCTTCAAGCACGGGTAAGAGGTGTCCAGTCCAGAGTGAAAATCGTGAAGATCATACTCCCGTTCCACCATCTCCATCAATTGCTACTCCCATGGCGGTTAGTCCTATGCAAGCAAATCAACATGATCAGGAAAATGGGATGAAAGCAGATAGCACTTTGAACCAGAATCAAGAGCAGTTATATGACACATTTCATAAAACTGGTCCTGATATATCAGTTGACAACAGCAGCGACATCCAAAATCCTGAAACCTCAACCATCTCTACGTGCATGGAGGTGGACAGAGTTCACCAGGAAGATATTTCAAGAATGAAGGATGCAAGAACCTTGGAGTCTTGCGTTCAACATAGTTTTTAATGAATTTATTCTTCTGGAACTGTAGGGGAGCAGTGAAACCCCAGTTTCAAAAATCGCTTTTTCTGTTTACTAGGAAATATAAGCCTAGTATTATAGTGATTCTAGAACCTCGGTGTAGTGGTCAAAAAGCTGCTGACATTATCCGAAAATCTGGGTTTAAGCATGCTTTTGTTCAAGAGGCAGAAGGTTACTCAGGGGGTATTTGGATCCTCTGGAATGATGAGACTGGTCTCGTTGAAATTGTTAATCACACAAAACAGTTTGTTCATTTTAAAGTTCAGAATTTTCATGTTCCTTCCTTTTCTTGCACGGCAGTTTATGCGAGTCCTAGGGAAGAAAATAGAAAGGAGCTATGGGATGATCTGCTAAACATTAGTCTCC